TTTAAGGTCATCTTTTTGATCCATTTTTCAGCCTCCGAGGCTGCTCATGTCCCGGGAGGCTGATAAAGGAGTGCATGAGCATAGAATAAAGAGAAGACCAGAATATTCATGTGCTCCAAACTCCTGGGAACTTGCAACAGAAGAGAAAAATCTGAAATATTTTCTCAGTAGGATTTCCCTACTAAGCAACACTTTTCTGTGCAGACAACTGGTTCAAAGCAGCGTTGACACTTCATGCCAGGCCCTGCACTCCTTCCACTCTGCGGTGGTGTAAACCATGGGCAGATGGTTCAGTGCAGTGGAAAATCAGGTCTCCAAGAAAATACAGAGCTGAGAATAAAACACCCTCAAGCGGAAAGCTACATGGCTTATTTCAGGATAAAACGAAAAACTGAGATCCTTGGGCAAAAAATAGAATACGCCTTCAGAGTGGTGTATTCCACTTACATGAACTGCCTCATTCCTTCCCATTTGAGAAAACATCCATCCCTTCACAGCTGAAGGCTCATCTCATTTGTTGTCTTTCAGTTCATTGATCTGGTTTCTCAGGGCTTTCACGTGACTGTCCTTTGCTGAACTAACAAGCGTACTTATCACTGAATTTTCTTTCATTTTTACGTGCATACTGAAGGCAAACCTTTCAGAATTTCTTCCCACTTAAGCTGCAGCGTGACCTGAATTGCATCCATCTTTGTTTAAATCCACTGGGGCATAAACATCCAGCCAAAATAGGTAAGAATATAATGTCAAAAGTTTAATTCTGGTTTTATATTTGTGCATAAAGACATAAATTACCCCTGAAAATTTCTTCCATTAAGCCTGATTTATTATATGCAGTCTCTGCACTTGTGGCCTTTAAAGTTCCTGACATACCCCTACCTCACTATGTCCCCATCCCAAAAGTAAAGCTTTTAACTCTGCTCCAGCCAAATTCCAGCTCCTGACATTCCTCTGCTTGCACTGGAGTGCCAGGAATAAGTACCAGGGTAGGGAAATCCTCGTGCATACACTGTGCTGTCTTATGTTAAAGAACTATTGGATTACATCTCGGCTGGCTGCATTTTGGTGACCTAGATTCTGTTCATACTAGCTGAAAAATAATTTAGCAAACCTTGGTATAAAAGCGTATCTCAGATTAAAATGGGCTGATATTTATTTATCTGGAGGAAAAAGACAGAAGCGAACTACTGGCACTTCTCACTGGTATACCTGAAATAGCTACTCTGAACCGATAGCCTGATGTCTGCTTCCTTTTTATCTGTAGCTGCCTCCGTACATGCATCTGCAGTGCCCCCCCTACACTTTAGATTTCATCTGAAATCTGTGGAGTTCTGGATTCTTCTGAAGGACATGCCTGACAAGCAACCAAATCCATTCAGCAGAAGGGCGTTAAATAAGGGCGCTGTAAGACCCCATCGGCATCATCATCATTTGTAACAACTCCATGCACCAGGCTTGCTGGAAAAAACCCAAGACTTTGCCAATTACTAAAGCAACGAAGAAGATTCCACTGCCCCAACGACTTGCTACTCATTGGTAACTTGCCGTTCAGCTTTTTTTTTTTTTTTCAAAGGTAAAATGAATGCGCAGGGTGCTTGGAGTCAATTTTTGGTGGTGAATATGAAGTCACTGTCTATGCTAATATCAATGGCCCTTTCACTGTAATGCGCTTTACTGTACAGAGAACAAATACAGTTTCCATGGCAGTGTAAACATAAATACATACCACACTCCAAAGAGTGAGTCACACGTGCTGCAGAGAACGGAGAAAGTTCACTGTCTTAAGCTGAGCAGGTTATCCCAGTCCTTCAAAGGGTTACAACAAGAATTTAACTGTCGTGAATGAAGAGTAAGTTCCACATACAGAGGAGATGGATAAATCCGTGGTGACTACTTAGTACTGGTACTAAGTACTGGTCAAGACGTTCCTTTGCATTGCACATGTTAGCCTTAGGAGGGCTCAGCACAACGCAAACTACACATTGAATGTGTGATACGGACCTTTGCCTTGCTGCTGGGAGTCTGAAGACAAGTGCTTTATAGTCTGAAATAGCGAGAACCTGACCTTGAGTATCAGCAGCATGCACTTGACAGGTGTCTTGTAATATCATTTATCCAAAGCTGAGACACTGATATATAGATTCAGAGGAAAATGAATCTTGGGTGGAATTAAAATCAAATATGTAATGTGCACTTTGTAACAGGGAAAAAAACATGGTGAGACCTGTCTTGGGGGAATAAAACGTGCACTCAGTAGATATGGGAGCAAGAGTTTTCCCTAGCAAGATTTTTCTTATAAGTCCCAAAACCTAGAGGTTTGTTTATGACCCTAAGCCAGAGACTTTATATCCCTTCCTAAGAACCAGTTATTTTTTTTAATATTACAGCTCAGAAGGTCTTATCTACTTATTTTACTAACCTAAATCCTTTCCCAGGACCTGTTCTGCCTGCAGAATATTCAGATTAACTGTTAAGGTTTCCAAAGGCTGCTCTGAGCAGGAATACTGCCTTTGGTCCTTACTGCAAGCGAAAGCAAAGCAATGTCATGGCAAAACTGCATATTCCTCTTGGCTGGGCTGACATGTGAATGTCGACGATGTGAATTCAGTACTTGGGAGTCACTGAGGTAAAACAAGGCCTGAAGGTTGAGGATTGCTATTTATACACTGGCTCATGGCAGAGTACACAACACACCAAGAGTTTTAAACAAAGTTAGTAGCAATAGCAGTTAAGATCTTCTACGGGAAAAAGGGTTAAGGGAGAAACAAAACCTTTCATTAGATCAACCGATTCAGTGCAGGAGCTTGACCTAAATCTGACACAGCCCCATCAGTAAGGGCCAAAACCAAAGGGAGAGGGACAATAAATCTGCCAGTCATGGTGTCAAATATGTCTCAGCATACAGACATTGAGAAGTTTGGAACTCATCCCTCCAGCATCCGATGGAAAATTAAATGAATACATACAAACAGCAGCATCTTTCTGAATTAAAGTGATGTGTCTGAATGCCTCATTAACAATGCGCCACAGAGAATAATGTCTGTCTCCAGACCACCTTGGCTGTATTGCAATGTGCGTGCGACCGCAGGGGAGAAAAGGAATAGGTGAGGAAAATAGAGAGGGGGAGCAGTTCATTGCGATGGCTGTTTCGGGCTGTTTCATCACCTCTTCTCTGCCCTTCCCCCATGGGAACAGTCACTTCTGACTGCTCTTCGTTGTCTGTTTAAATCACATCAATTTAAAAGGGTTATGAGAGGCTGTATTTAATCAAACGTTTGTTATGTCCAGGTGTCTTTGTCTGTCTCCTTTCCCAGATTTATCCAGAGATAATTATCTCATGTTGGAGACTCGTTTCCCCTTGAGGACCAACGGGAATATCCACTTAAAAATTAAAAAATAATTGGAACTAACAGAATGCGTGTGGTTAGCTATCCTGTTACCTCTGCTCCGGGGCACAGTTCTCGCCATCTGGTCTGTCCTGACCTGGTAGGGGTAAGCTCTCCAAGACGAAACTGTTCGTCTTTGTCCTGCCAGGCAGATATTCACATGAAAATATCATACTACTGAAAAATAACAACTGAATAGAGTTTGCCAGACTTCCCCCCACCCCACCCCACCCCCCATCAGGAATATAAACATGAGGAATTTCAAAAGCGTGACAAAGACCGCGGTACACCAACGCCATTAAAATTCATCTCGGCTGCCTGGCAATGTAAGAATAATGCCACAGTGTATGTGCTCGTACAGTAGAAGCCACTGTTGAGATTTTTAAATCCCATTGCAGTGAATGGAAGCCGCGTGTCCAGCGCCTCTGAACTGCTATCGCTATAAAAGCCGATATGCACAAAACCACCCACGACTTAAAATCAGTGGTGTAAAGAGGGTAGTAAACAATACACATACAACAGGTTAACACATTTGGCCTTTGCTGAAGTGAGCGCTATATTTTTTTGCAGTACCTCGGTGTTTAAATCTTGTTTCTGTGCGCAGCACAGCTCCACCCTGCCACAGAGCGTTTAAGGCCTCCGGCTCTCAGTTTTACTTCCACGCACCTAACACAGAGGTTTTGTCCTCTGCGGTATTACGAAGTTTAAGCTTTTGTGCTCTTCATAAAAGAAATGACCCAGGGACCTATGAAAGCCTGTTTAGCTGCAAAGATTTATCTTTATCTAAAGGACTGCTCTTTTGTAAACATCATCATTAATCGCTTCTGCGTAAATAAGCGCACCTATTGACCTACACAGCGGGGAGTCACAGCCTCCGTTATTGGCATAAACAGGGGATAATGGTTAATGTTGGTACAAACCCACGAACACCCGCGGGACGCGGCCGTGCCCCCCCGCCCCTCTCGGAACGCACTGACGGGCGGCCCCGCACGCC